GAATTTTGGAAGGGGAAATTCTCTGCCGATCCAAGCGAGCCTATTCTTTACCGTGTTGGCCTTTATCATTAGTTCATTCTGAGGCCCACTATCTGGTCCGAGTATCCCGGGATGAAGACCACGAATGATGTATCGACCATTAGAGCCTGGAGCACTAACATCCCTACCAATGAACCCGCAGTGGACGCGTTCATGATCATCTGTCAAGTGCCACGACATTTTCCTCGAAACTGCCAAATTCCTTAACTGCAAAATTGAGTACTGTCGAGGGAATGGGGAAGGAATAGAAAATCACCTTCGTGTTCATTCAACCAAATTTTAGGATCGCGACAAAGATTATCCGAATCTTCAATAGAATCCCCGAACAAATAGTCAGTTTTCTTTAGTGGCTCAGTGGAGTCCCGAATTGGGGTTAAAGGTGAGTCAGTCAACAAAGCACGCAGAGTGCGACGACTTCCTTCACGAATCAACCCAGGAATGCTGTCGTCACCACCCTCATTAAACTGACGGGCCTCTCTAACCAGAAAGTCACCGTTGAAGGAGGCATGAAGAATACCGCTTTGACCTAAGTCTTCTCTATCAGAAAAGTTGACTAAAGAAAAAGGCACTGCGGACAAAGTTGGAAAAACAACTGAATAAAAGAGGCTAAGAGAGCAAGGCAAAATGCTCTAAGTAACCGCGGCGGTATTCACTGCCGCGCGTTACCGCGGTAGTGTATGCTGCCGTGCTCAGCCACGACAATACGTGCTGCCGCGGTAACTGAACAGCAATTCCAGACTTCAAAGAGTTATGAGTTCGAGCCAAATTCATGTTGTGGCCGTGGTACATGTCTTGATTAAACAAGATATGTATTTTGCAGCGTCAATACCCTCGAAGGAGGATGTCAACTCTTCCCGGATGCCTCTCAAAGGAGACAAACGAGGCCGTATGCACAAAATTAACAATTTCAGGCAGAGAAAAATTAAAGAAACTTACCCTCGAAGGAAGAAACGGCAGCCTCGATCTCCTCCGACGCTGGGGCCACTGATTTGCCTTTGGGAACCCTAGATCTCTTAGGAGACATGGTGAAATCAACCTAAAAGGCGAGAAAAGTTAGGGTTTTATATGAAATCTCAAGCAAAGATCAAAACTGAACCCTAGAATACGACACAGGGGTGCGGTTTTACCAGGGGTTGGATGAAATCAAACTTTGATCGAAGGAAAGACTCAGAATCAAAGAGAACTCAAAACCCTAGATCTTGTTCGAGCAAGAAATAACCCAAATATGAAGAGTTGGAGAGGGGAAAAGCCAAAGGTCGCCTTATCTGGGGTATTTGAAGAGTTTCGAACTCAAAGAAGCGGGGAAGAATGACCCGAAAAGGCCCAAGTCGGTCTTATAAACCCGACTGGCCGAGGCGGTGCGCGGCACTCGACACTGTTGCGCTCGAGCGCGACAGTCTAAGCTGGCGCGCTCAAGCGCGACAGTAGAGGCTGGCACGGCAGTTAACACACCATAGTCCACTCTGACGCGCAGAAACACTGTGCATACACAATAATTCCTTGGGTATTTAAACACATACATCTCCCGCTGTATTTGGAATACATACCCAAACACTCTGATGAGTATATGAGTATAAACTGCATCTCCTTGAACCTCCCAACGGGTATATGAGGTTAAACTATTTCCCGAACACTCCAATATAGTATATGAGTATAAACTATTTCTCCATTCTTCGACGGCAGTTCTAATTTAAGACTTCGACAACGGCCACACGATAAACGCAGCACCGGAGGAATTTTAGCTATTCTACAAAGCACTGAATAGGCTAAAAGATGAAGAAGTCAAGAATTGAAACCATTTATAGATCATCTTACGCAACTTCCTCAATAAAGTACTGAAGAAATTGCAAGGAAAACTTATCATATCCAAAGTGTCCCAGACTCCTCTCCAAAATGATGAGTCTGAGATACTTTGGAGGGGGTATCTGTAGGCGTCAAAAAATACTTACAGACATCAATGTACAACAGCAACAGGCAGTACATGGCGGTGCGGCTGAGGCACGGTAGTACATGGTGCCGCGGCTAAGGCGCGACTAAGGCGCGCAGCGCTATGGTGCCGCGCTATGGCGCGCAGCCTATGGTGCCGCGGCTATTATAGGGGGGTGTTGCGGAGGTTACAAGGTAGTTATAGCGATGATTATTTGAAGTCCACTGTGCGACATATCAGAAATAGAACGTGTGCTGACGTGGACAAGCAGTTAAACCACGAAAAAGTGGTTAAAGGTCGTGGGAGAACAGTTTCAGGCACGATAAAACGTGTGGAACCGCCTTTGGCCGCGGCAGCCCATACTGCCGCGCCAATAGCCGCGGCAGCATGGACTGACGCGGCCAAAGAACAGTTGTTTGGTCAGTTATCTCGCCCCCATTTTCACTGTTATGCATTCCTACCCCTATAAATACCTCACTAGACACGAAATAAAGGACAGAGAGTAGATTGGAGTAAAAAAGGCTTGAGCTTTTGGTGATTTCGAGGAAGAAAGAGAGAATTTTCACCCTTTGACAAGCATCATTTGGTGATTCCTAGAGATCTAAGCTCAGACTTGATCTTTGGAAGAGTGAATATCTTACATCGATAAGATACTCGCTTTTAAATCCTTACTTCGATAAACGAAGGAAGGATCTTCAAACACCCTCACGATCTGTGAATCAGTGGTCCACGAGCCAAAGCACTCCCGGCACAGGCAAAGTCCCACAAAAGCAGGAGTTGATAAATAATTTCTGTGTTATTTTCTCGAGAGTTGTATTTTTTGCTTATTTTCATTGTAATTTTCTGTAAACGACTGAAGTTTTAATGGAATCGACAATGGAAATAACTTTCGCTGAAAACAGAAGCCTAATTATCAGACCTGTCCTATACTTCAGATTGAAGAGGAAACAGAAGAAGTCGTAGGAACATGGTCAACGACGAAGAAGTTCAAGAATAAACGACGATGATTCAGTTTGGCAGATTCACAGTCGACCACGGGTGGCGCGCGGTCTACCGCAAACGTGCACAAGACTCAGGGTAGCGTCTGGTTTTTTTGCGGTCGACCGCGGTGGGCGACTGCGCCAGGCCCAAGAATCTGGGTTGGTCTCTGGACTTTCGGCGGTCGACCGCGATACCTTGTAATTATTTTCTGCTCTCTGTCGCTCATCGCGGTCGACCGCGTGTCGGATTTTGGCTTATGTCGGGTTTTTTTGACCTGTTTGAATTCTGTTTTGTTTTAACCCCTAAGTTATTAAAGGGGTGATTAAGAAAAATTGTAATTGAGACGAAAATTGTAAAATTTTCTCCTGCGACGGTCATGGACGTAGCTTCTCATATTAAGAAGTGAACCACGTAAAATCTTGTATGTTTATGATTGTTTTCTTTTTCTCTCATCTCTATTTTCAAATTGCATCAGGAGGTTTGATCTAAAAACCCTAACAGTAGTTACAAACGAAGCAAATTGTGAACGTTGCCACTTAGCTTGAGGTCGAGGATCATTCAATCGCCAATCAGTTTTAGGAAAAAGATGTTCGATTAGAAATATAAAAGAAAATTCAGACTATATTCTTTATTCTTTCCATCCTTTTTATTTATTTATATAAAGTACTCAGTTTGTTCTCTTAAAATATGTTATATGTGCCTTATCTAGGTTTCTTGTGTGACCACCTTGAACTGCTGCAATTATAAAATAAGGATAAATTTGGCTTAGTCTTTGTCAGACTAATATGACACTTGAAGATCCTTGATTATAGTTGACTTTCGTTATATATACTGTTTCGAAATTAATTAAAACATAGATAAAGCGCTTATTAAAACTGTCTCCAACTAATGTTCTTTGGAGAGGAAAAAAAAAAAAAAAAACCTAGGTCCAACTTGATATTCTAGGAAACTACATAAGAATATCTCCAACTTGCACATATATTCTTGGAAGCTACATAATGTCTAAGAAAAATTATAAAAGCCTCCATAGATCAACTATAGGATGGAGTTTTAATTTTTGAAGTACGTAAGAGCATTTGGCATTTGAGTATTTTCAATCTGTACAATATATTCTAGTTTTTTTCTTCTTCTAGGAATCACCTTTAAACTAATATATTAATTTATAGAAACCATATTTGATGCGATGCAAAAGTAGTCGTACCGAGTAAGGGTGTGAATATTTGACTCCGACGATTCAAGAAAAAGACCACGGGAAAAGCAAATTCGAAGCGCTCAGGGAAAATGGTGATTTTTGGTGGATTTGTTTAAAAATAATGGTCTTTGGTACGTGTGAACACAACGAAGTGAAGTATGTGTGTTCCCATGTATTTAAACAGATTATGATACGTTCATGGTCATTTTTAAACCTTAACATATGTGTTGACTGTTGTAGTGAAATAAATGTATATAGAAATAATGGATATGGTGTGACAATTCACTTTGCTAAATGGGTTAGGGTTTAACAATGAAAAGTGTTAGCCAAGTGATGAGGTTTATTTTAAAAGTCACGTCAAAATATATGGATCTGACTATCCTATCTCTTAACAGCTCATTTTGCTAAAAAAAAGCCACCAGTTCATATCTATCTAACCCTGTATATATAAGTTCAGGCTACTGGATGCATGTCAAAAAGAGAGAATGTTAAAGTCATCCATTGTTTCCATCCATGTGTGGTTTTCTTATTAAACTGATTTATGACTATGATTATAAATAAGGAGGCATCATTATGAGCATGTGTGGCCACATACTTATGATGATCAGTAAGGAGACTGCTCCCCTATTTTCATAACATCAGATTTATTGTTGTGGGCCAGTGGCCGTGTGCTCATTACGCCCACCTGAAAGTTGAAGCCATCATAGCTACACATACGAGGCTAAAAGAGACAAGCGACATAATTACATCAGGCCCGATCAGGTCAGGCCCATCTACTGTTGGCCTACCCTTCAGCCCAAAATTAATTAGGCTTCTATCTATCTATTTAGCCCAGTCTTAAAAAAAAAAAAAATCCTCTGCGTGAATCAGGCAGGCTGCGAGCAGCGGCGTCGTCTCTTATCTCCCCTCCTCTATTTTTTAAACCCTAACCATTCCTAGGGTTTCGATCGCCATGAGATGCTTCTTCAGAGAGATACCTCCGTCGCTGCCGTCCATGTTACCGACGAAGATGACGGCGATTGCGATCTCGACAACGCCGTCGACGAGGATTGGGATCTCAGCGGCGGGGAGGACAAAGCACAGCAGAAGAGGAAGAGGAAATTGAGGTCGATGTCGATGATGAGGGCACCTTTGGATGCTGCTTCGTGATCGATGAGGACGGTGATTTTGAAACTAGGGTTTTGAACATTGAAGAAGAGGAGTTTGTAATCGATGAAGAAGAAGGAAAATGGGGGACGAGAAGATTGGGTCTTGTAGGAAAAGCTATGCAGAAGTGCGCCAAGATTTCAGCGAGGAGAACTTATCCCTGGAGGTAAATTTTTTATGGGTTCAAGCTACTGTTATGCATCTCATTATTCTTAAAGTTGCATTTGTGATAGAGGACTCGAAAACAAAGAGTTGGGAAAATCTTTTTCTGATTCAAACTGGAGGGAGATTTGGGGAATAATATGTGTTGTGCGCGGCAAAAGTCAAAACAAAACCGATGTGCTTCGAGAGACCAAATCAAACAAATGCCGATAGACGATCAAACAATTCAAAATAACGTCACAAACTCAAACAACCAATTTTAACGTGGTTCGGCAAGTTGACTACGTGCACGGGGTAAGAAGGGGATGCTGTTTTCACTAATAGAGAAGAAGAGTACAAATTGAGATTACAAATTGCTCAAACCAACCAACTAATGTCACAAAAAAATCTTTAATTCTCTCCAAACAAAACCCTAGCCAATAGCTCTAAAAATATCTTTTTTCTGTACTCCAAATATCCCCTTGACTGCACTCCATAAACCCTAAAACGTGTGTTTGAATTTATATCAAACACAAATCCCAACCAGAACAGAAAACCAAAATCAGGCCCATACCTGACTCGCGGTCGATCGCTGAACCCATCGCTGTTAACCGAAACCAATGACAAAAACAAAATCTGCTACAGGGTTTGGCTCAGTCGACCGGATCAGACATTGCGGTCGACCGTGAAAAGTCCAGAGACTTTTCCCTGTGCTGTGCACGTTCGTGGTCGACCACCGCGCCACTCGTGGTCGACCGTGCAGCATCCAAAATGTTTCTTGCGTCTTTTTGCATGAATTTCTTCGCCGTTGTTCCTAATTCTACAATTCTCCACTTCGGTGAAGTTTTCTCAAAACTGAGCTGACACCAACCAAACCAAATGTCCCAATTGTTGCGTCCAGTACGAAGTGAAAGTAATCCACAATAACGGACTCAATCCACAACAAGTCGATACCCAAATGAGAATGTGATCACTCTCCAAATATCGATGTCTACTCTTTAAACCGGCTGCATCATAAATAACTACGTACGTATCCTCTTGCCCAAGGAATTAAGCCTTCACGTAGTTTACAAAAATGACCTCCAAAGACCCTCAATCCAATATAAGAGTTCTCAACTCTTCACTAACAAATCTACGGCTGATAGCTCTCCTAATGGCCCTAAAGTGAAACAAACCAAATACCTCCATCTGAGGTGAACCAATGATCATATCCAAATCGAAACTATGTCTACCAGCTGCACTCGAATCAACCAACTCGTCATCTGTATCCAAAACAACATGATCCCCAACCTGTGTCACCTCAGCTGGAATCCCAAACGATATAATATGATCTGAAGTATGTGGAGTAATCTCCACCCAACATGGAGTAGCATCACCCTCCACCCGCTGCGATATCCCAATGATCTGATCAACTCTCCACTTGTCGAGAGTCAAATGTGACATACCTGTTCAGAATCAAATCAGAGTCTCCCAACTGATAACCAAACGAGCCTCTGAATCTCAAATGTGCAATCAGATCAAATCTCACATCCTCGATGTGATCAAATGCTGGGCAATTAAACATCCAACGCAATCTAAAATCTGAAGCAACTCCACCTGATCCAAAAACTCCAAACGTAGCAGTCGACAACTTATGACTAAGATGATCCAAATATGTCGAAGCTCCAAAACTCCTCTGTAATCCAATGCTTGACAACCAACGCCGATCCTCCTTCAGCAAGGAACGACTCATCAAAACTGTCATCTCATTTCGTCGCCCCAATGTTTCCTCTCCAATGAAGTGTTTCAAACTGTCGTGAGCTCGACACAAACGCAAGAAAGAACCCCTATCAAAATCAAAATAACGGGTTACTTTTCTATCAATAGACTCCCTCTATTTGTTGTTGACTTCTAGGACTTCACACCAATAGGACTTGGTTGCAACCCACCAATGCCTAGAATAATCCCCAACTACGGAAATCAAATATCGATTACCTCCAAATGATGCCTCATTAGAAGGCCTCCAAATGCCTGAATGAATACCACCTAAAAGACTTGATCGATGGATAGAAGTGCCAAACTTCACATTGCTCTTCTTGCTCATACCAATGTGCTCAAAGGACTTCAATCTGCAAGTCAAAACACTCATCAACAAACCATGCACGACATAACCAATCAAATATCACAGCCTCAACAAATACCACAGTCTAGCCAAATCCAAAGAAGTCGTTAGCTTTCTATCAATCATCATGTTTCCAATCAAATAATACAAATTCTTCCTGACGCCCTTCATCACAATCATGGATCCAAATGTGACATTCAAAGATGCATCCTTTAAGGTCACCCGATAGCCTGCTGCCTCCAAAACTCCAAGTGAAATGATGTTCTTCTTCAACTGAGGAACAAACCTCACTTCATCCAACTCCCGAATCACTCCGTCACACATCCTAATACGAACAGTACCGAAACCAATAGGGCATTCATGATCATTACCCATGAGCACGGCATCCCTTCTTTCTAACTCCTGAAAGTTGGAGAACCAATCACTCTTAGGGCAAATGTGATAAGAAGCATCCGAATTTAATATCCACTCTGTAGAGTCGGTAACACAAACTGACGGTAGTGTTAATGAATAGCCCGAAGAATCCAAATCTGAATTATCGTCACTAGCCTTGACAGCATTCACCTCTGAAGCTTGAATAGCTTTTCCCTTATTCTTCCCGGCTCGATCAACCAACTTTGGGCATTTTCACCTCTGAAGCTTGAATAGCTTTTCCCTTATTCTTCCCGGCTCGATCAACCAACTTTGGGCATTCGGTTTTTCAATGTCCATCCTCTTTACAAAAGCTTATTCTTCCCGGCTCGATCAACCAACTTTGGGCATTCGGTTTTTCAATGTCCATCCTCTTTACAAAAGACAGATTCCTACGAATTTCAGGATGTGCCCCTCTAGACTGTGATCTCCTACCACGGTTTGGACTCTTTGCTCTCGTGACCATTGCCCCCGCTACCGACTCAATTGAAGTTTTCTTATCTTTCTTTCGAAGCTGATAATTCACAAGTGTAGTGGTGACTTCACTATACGAAAGAGATGCCTTCCCATTAATAAGAACAGTGTTGTTAATGCGCGAGGCGTAAGGCGGGACGCAAAGCATCTTTACGTGCACATGCGCAAGGCGCAATGCAATGCGCGCGCCCGAGTGATGCGAGGCGCACACCGCACATAATTTTTTAATATATGTAATCAAGCGCGAAAGAACATGTTTTTAAAATTTACATGATAAATAATATCTTACTATAAAATCATAATATAATATCTTAATTTCTAATGCTAACATCCAACATAGTAGCAAAATTCATAAATTTTCAAATCAAATGTTAAATCAAGACTAATATCCAAGTAAATGATTAGTAATGGTCCTCAATTGAAGGCTATTAAAAAGACCTAAGAGATTTATTTTGTTTTTTTGGGATATGGAATATCAATTATAAAGACTCGATTGAAATGTTAACAAACAAAACTATATGTGGATATGTACTACATGCACCCTGCACAAAGTAAGGATGTACGTGAGACGCAAAAGGCGTTGCTGCATCAGATATGGGGCGCTTCGCCACCGCCCCGCATCGTAAGGCGCATGAGGCGCAATGAGGCACATGCCTTTAAAAACACTTAATAAGAGTAAGAACGAAGGTTTCATGTTTCTCGTCGGGCAAGGAATTCAACAATAACAACACTGTAGGATCTGAACTAATCACACTAAAAACACTAGAGGAGGGGGGTGAATAGTATTTTATAAAATTTTATGCAAAGTAGATAATAAATTAAAAAAAAGAAATGACAAACACAGAAAATCAACAATACAAACACAAGGATTTATACTGGTTTTACCTTCCAGGTTTACATCCAGTCTCCAAGCAAATCCCGCTTGAGATTTTCCACTATGATTTTGAATAAACTTACAAAATCAAAACTCAAACCTGATCAATTTGTAAGATCACGCAAATTGCAACAAATCTCTTCACCAAGAGATTACACCTCTCAAACTTGAGAGAATCCTTTCCTTGAATCATTGTACAAATCTCCTATAAGCCTTGATAAGTTTGTGATGTGTAACAGTGGCTTATAGACTCTTTTGTTCTCTGAATTCTTTTCAAAATCTTGTATAAATGAAGATGAACAATTGTTGCAGAATTTTATTTTTCTCAATACTCAAGTAAAAATCAGATTTTCTATTACTTGAGTTTCATACAAATTCAATATTATATGTATATTTTCGTGGTCCAAAATTCTGAACTTCTAACCTATTTATATCCCTTGAAAAGACATAATTTTGAACTCATTAAACAGATATAAACGGCTAAAAACTGTTTCATATTCAAACATGAAACGTTCAGAAAAACTGTCTTAGTAGTCGACTATAATGTTCAGTAGTCGACTACTCTGTAAAACAGAAAGTCTGTAATTCAAAAATTGAAGCTGAGTAGTCGACTATAATCCTGGGTAGTCGACTACTCTGTAAAGCAGATGTTCTGTAATATAAATTTCAATGCTCAGTAGTCGACTATAGTTGTAGTCGACTACTCTGTAAAACATAAGTTCTGTAAATCAAAATTCAAAGCTGAGTAGTCGACTATAATCCTCAGTAGTCGACTACTCTGTAATTTTACAGAAACTTAAGTTTTGATCTTAGAGTTCAGTAGTCGACTACAAAACTAATTAGTCGACTACTAAGGGGTAAAAATGTTATGTATGAAATATTTTTGACTCAATGATTAACTAAAAACTCTAATGGTTAACATAGGAGATTTCTATTGTTAACCAACACGTTAAGCCTGTGTTAATATGTTCTAATCTCTATGTGTGTGTATGTGTGAGTGATCAAGGCTTGTACAAAAGCCTGTGTTAATATGTTCTAATCTCTATGTGTGTGTATGTGTGAGTGATCAAGGCTTGTACAAAATTTCTAAGTAAAGAGAATGTAAAAAATCTCTATGTGTGTGTATGTGTGAGTGATCAAGGCTTGTACAAAATTTCTAAGTAAA